AACGCCGATCCATACTAGCCGGTGGGCACTAGGACCTGGGTGGCTGCACATGCGCACTCGCGATCGCGGACGCTCGTCTGGCACCAATGACAGGGCAGGGCGCACTATTTAAACCTGCCCTGCACAGACTCTTATTGCCGTATGGTCTATTTATCCTGTGTTCCTGTATACCTGCTATTGTGATTTGTTGCTGACCCTGCCTGATACTGACCTCTGCTGACTTCTCCTGCTGTGACCCCCTGGCTTGTTTGACCTCTCTCCTGGATATCCTTAATCTGATCTGAACTCCTGTTACCGACCCCGGCGAGTGACCTGACTACTCTTCTGTCTGCTGCCTTGTACTACGCTGACCCCACTGTTACCGACCCGGCCCGTTTGACCACGCTCACTACTCTGCCATCCATCCTGCATGGATCCATCCATCCCCACGGATCCAGCCATTCCTGCTCCAGCCTTCCGCCTCTTCACGTCAGGCTCTCTACCTGCATATACCTCTGGCGGATCCCTCTACCACAGGCCCACAATAATAATAATGGAGACCCACAATCCCCACCTGGAGACCGTGACTGACTTCTTCAATGCGATGGCAGCCCTATATGATGATCCGCAGCGGGCAGCATCCGCAGAAACGGCCCTGTGCTCCCTCCGGCAGGGCCGCCGGGCAGCGGAAGAGTATGCATCTGAGTTCAGATGCTGGATGGGGGACCCCCAGTGGAATGATGCCGCATTACGCCACCAGTTTTGCATGGGTCTGTCGGAGTCCCTTAAGGATGAGTTAGCCAGGTTGGGCCTACCTGACTCTTTGGAGGATCTCATCACCCTGGCCATACAGATTGACCGCAGACTGCGGGAACGCAGATTAGAGAGGTCCAGCCCAGGGCAGAGACCCACATGGGTACTTCCCCGTGCTCCAGTCCAAATCCTGCCAGGAGGAAGCCAGAACTTGGTGCCTGAGGAGATGCCAGAACCTATGCAACTCGGGTTGGCAGGACCATCATTATCAGTGGAGGAACGCCAGAGGCGACGGGCGAATAACCTATGTCTCTACTGCGGGGAGGCAGGTCATGTGGTGCGTTCTTGCCCAGCAAAACTGGGTAAGTGTGCTTCCGTGTTTTCCACCGTATCTCTAATTGTGGTAACCATGCCAATTACTTAGCCTTACCCGTTTCTTTTCAGCTTCCAGGAAGAACCGTGTCGGCAACAGCAATTATTGACTCCGGGGCATGTAGTTGCTTTGTTGATTTAGAGTTTGCCAACCAACATAGGATTCCCTCCAGACCAGGGAACAGGGGCTAAATATCTTTTTGGCTGACAGGTCACGCATTAAGTCAGGGCTAGTGGACCGGGAGACCCCACCTATCTGTACTACGGTGGCTAACCACCATCGGAAGTTCCTCCATTTGGATACCATTGTATCCCCTCTGTTCCCAGTAATCCTGGGACTCCCTTGGTTGTGGGCACACAATCCCCAGATTGATTGGAAGACTGGGTCTATCCAGTTCCTATCATCTTACTGCCAGGAACATTGTCACGCCCTGACCTCCTTGGCTCCCCAGTCTCTCCTATGTATTGATGGGGAAGCCGAGCTCATCCAGATCATTCCCTCAGCCTACCACGACTGTTAAGATCTTTTTAGTAAACGGGGGGCTGACATTCTTCCTCCACACCGAACCTATGACTGTCCCATCGACCTCCTACCCGGATCTGAGATTCCTTTCGGACGGATATTCCCCCTATCGGAGCGGGAATTAGGGGTGCTCAAGGAATACTCCAGAAAGGGTTTAGCCGCCCCTCCACATCACCGGCCGGAGCAGGGATCTTTTTTGTAAAAAAAAAAAAGGATTAGTCCCTAAGGCCCTGTATCGACTATCGTGACTTGAATAAGATTACGATAAAAAACCGTTGCCCCCTTCCCTTGGTTCCGGAACTATTCCAAAGATTAAAGACAGCAGCCATGTTTACCAAATTAGATTTGAGGGGCGCGTATAACCTAGTCCGCATAAGGGAGGGGGACGAGTGGAAGACCGCATTTCACACAAGATTTGGGCATTTTGAGTACCTTGTCTTGCCCTTCGGACTGTGCAATGCCCCAGCCACATTCCAACATTTTATTAATGACGTATTCAGAGATTACCTGGACATTTTTGTGGTCATTTACTTGGACGACATTTTGATCTTCTCCTCTTCTCTGGAAAACCATAGGGGTCATGTCAAAAGTGTGTTGGAACGTTTACGCCAACACGGGTTGTATGCTAAAGCTGACAAATGCAGCTTCAAGCAGCACAGCATTGCTTTCTTGGGGCTGATCATCACCACGGGGGTTGCGATGGATCCCCAAAAGGTCTCGGCAATTTCAGAATGGCCAGTACCCACGGACAAGAAGGGCGTGCAACAATTTATAGGGTTTGCAAACTTTTACAGAAAGTTCATCAACTTTTCGGGCCTCGTGTCTCCCATTATCCAGCTCACCAAGCAGGGGACCCGTTTCCGGTGGACCCCTGAGGCTCAAGCGGCATTTAAGACCTTAAAGGACCTGTTTACTACTGCCCCTATCTTTAGTCATCCTGACTCCTTTCTGCCTTACATTCTGGAAGTTGATCTTCGGAGAACGCAGTGGGGGCCATCCTGTCCCAGAGGAAAGGTACCAAAGAACTTATGCACCCAGTGGCATTTTTCTCAAGAAAACTTACGTCAGCGGAGAGAAATTATGACATTGGAGACCGGGAACTCCTGGCTAACAAAACAGCACTGGAGGAGTGCAGGTATCTGCTGGAAGGGGCCACACATCCAATCTTGATTTTTACAGACCACAAGAATCTGGAATACTTGAGGACAGCCAAACGCCTGAGACCACGCCAAGCAAGATGGGCACTCTTCTTCTCCCAATTTGTGTTCCACATTACTTATAGACCCAGGTCCTAGAATACAAAGCCCGACGCTCTCTTACGCATGTTTGAGGACCCAGAAGAAGTCCCTAAACCAGAAACTATCCTGTCCACAGGAATCTTTCTCGCCCTCCAAACGGAACTACGCTCCAGGCTACAGACCGCATCCATAGGAATGCCAAGCCCACCCGGGGTTTCTCTACAGAGCAAGGAGGGTCTCTTTTGGAAAGAAGGGCAAATTGTGGTTCCCGAGGAGGTCCGAACCTTAGTTCTGGGGCACTGCCATGATCATCCACTAGCAGGCCATTTTGGAGTCGCAAAAACTCTAGAGTTACTCCAGCGTACGTTCTGGTGGCCAAGCATGGCTAAAGATTGTGAACTAAACGTGAAGACCTATGCCACGTCTCAAAGGAATAAGCCCACCAGAAGTAAGGCCTTAGGTTTACTACGACCATTGCCCATACCGGATCGGCCGTGGCAGATGATCTCCATGGATTTTCTCAAGACCATTCAGCGATTTTCGTAATCGTGGATCGTTTGTCAAAGATGGCCCATTTTCTGCCACTAAAGAATACACCCTCGGCTATGGAAACGGCACAGATCTTTGTGAAGGAAGTAGTGAAGCTCCATGGAATTCCAGAAGACATTGTCTCAGACCGGGGGGTCCAATTTACGTCAAAAGTCTGGAGAGCATTATGCGAGGTTCTGGGAATCAAGCTGTCCTTCTCATCTGCCTACCACCCACAGACAAATGGGCAGACGGAAAGGACGAACCAGACCTTGGAACAGTACCTGAGATGTTATACATCTTTTCTCCAGGACGACTAGCTGGCGCTCTTGCCATTGGCTGAATTTGAATTGAATAATGCAAATGCTACGGGGCAATCCCCATTTTTTGCCAATTACGGATTTCACCCCACGTTTTTACCGGACCTGATTCCTGAAAGCCCAGTTCCTGCTACACAAAATATACTGGATTTTTTTTTCTACCAATAACAAGGTACTTCAAGAAGCCATTGCAAAGGCCCAGGAGGACAGTAAAAGGGCCTTCGACAGGAGTAGAAGAGGCGAGCTAAGCCTGCACCTGGGAGACCAGGTCTGGCTAGCTACTACCAATTTGAGGATGTCTTGCCCCTCGAAAAAGCTGGAGCCGAAATTTATGGGCCCATTCCGGATAAAACTGAAGATCAATGAGGTGGCGTATGAACTGGCACTCCCAGGAATCTTCAAGATTCACCCAGTTTTTCACGTGTCATTACTGAAGCCAGCAATGCCAGATCCTTTCCCGGACCAAAGGTCCAGACCTACGGAGGCTATAACCATTAACGAACAAGAAGAATTTGAGGTTGAAGCAATCATAGATTGCAGAAAAAGAGGCGGCCAGACGCAGTTCCTGATTAAGTGGAAGGGCTATGGTCCTGAAGAGAATTCGTGGGAGCCACCCCAAAACATTCACGCCCCTGGACTTGTCCAGGAATTCTATCATAACCACCCACGGAGGAGAGATCGGTTGGGCATTCGGAGGATGCCCGTGGGGCGGCCAATGTCAGGGATCGCGGCGACAAGCGGGTCTGCGCGCGCATATGCGCCATACTAGCCAGCGGGCACTAGGACCTGGGCGGCGGCGGCCGCGCGCATGCGCACTCGCGGTCGCGGACGCTCGCCTGGCACCAATGACAGGGCAGGGCGCACTATTTAAACCTGCTCTGCACAGACTCTTATTGCCGTATGGTCTATTTATCCTGTGTTCCTGTATACCTGTTATTGTGATTTGTTGCTCACCCTGCCTGATCCTGACCTCTGCTGACTTCTCCTGCTCTGACCCCCCCCTGGCTTGTTTGACCTCTCTCCTGGATATCCCTAATCTGATCTGAACTCCTGTTACCGACCCGGGCGAGTGACCTGACTACTTTTCTGCCTGCTGCCTTGTACTACGCTGACTCCACTGTTACCGACCCGGCCTGTTTGACCACGCTCACTACTCTGCAATCAATCCATCCATCCTGCACGGATCCATCCATCCTGCACGGATCCAGCCATTCCTGCTCCAGCCTTCCGCCTCTTCATGTCAGGCTCTCTACCTGCATATACCTCTGGCGGATCCCTCTACCACAGGCAGGTGTACTCAGGGGCCGCGACCTGGTCCCTGTCTGCTCCAAGTCCATCCCCACCATCAGGGGCCCTGGTGAACAAGCAGACTGTGGCTTAGACTCCGCGCTCTGGGGAATCCTGTCCTGTGGACTGCTAGAGGTACCGCCAGGCGGTTGTTGACAGAGCAGAGTGAAGGACTCCATCTTGTTTTTCCTGAAGGGAGGCAGTCTGCATGTGGCAGGGAACAGTCTGAATCTAGCAGAGAAGTGCTTAGGGTCAGTTGACTGCATGTTTAGTTATCTGCATCAGTCAGGGGAACATCCAAACTGAGGGAAGTGGCCTACAGGACAGTGTCTACACCGACAGTGTGAAGCGTTCATCGTGGGATGAACAGAGGAGCCTGTCATTTCCAGGACGATCGTTTTGGCCTTAGTGACAGGATCTGGTGAGAGTGATTTTGCCCACTGGTAGATGACAGGAACACTGCACACAGAGACATTACACTTAGCCCATACTCACCAGGCACTGGGTTGTGTAGATGGCCCTGCTAAACAGACACAGTATTTGCTTTGCTATACAAATACTGCCACAGGATTACAATTATACTTTACCATAGGAGTTTAAGTGCACCAATGAAAGTGGCTAGCTGAAGATCCCAAGATTCATCCTGTTACCTAGAAACTGAAGTTACTGGTGCCATACGGGCATGCGCATCCATATTCAGGCCTCTATATTGCATGGTGTGTGAGGGAATAGCTTCACCTTGGAAAGTAGCTATTAAGCATCAGTTGGGCACAGTGTTTGCCTATTGGGCTTGTGGTGTCGGGGGTTAGAAGGGAGAAGTTTGACACAACAGAGAGTCATTCTTCTGCTCTCCTCCTGCTTGGGCATCATAGAGCCAAATTTATGTAAAGGATTTAGACCCACTTTGAGGTTGCCATTTAAGTGTTTGCCTTTGTTCTTGGGGTTATTCACGGTTGGAATCTCCTGAAAGCAGCCTGAGTGTAAAAGTGAGCTATAATGTTTTCGGTCACAGTATTTGCTGTTCTCTTGATTCACCTAATGTATACTTGTTGTTAATGTTTATTACTTCCCATAGAGGTCTTATTGTAAAGCTGATCTCTATGGTTTATTATAAAGTGCGTGCTTTTCATTGGTCCTTGCACTTACACTATTGCCAGGTGTGTCAGTTGGAGCTGAGACAGTTCTTGGGGTTGAGAGGCAGAGTGGCGGAGTGAACAAACTTAAGCAGCCCCTTTGAGGGTATCGCTACAAACGCTTTCTGGAAAACTTTAGTTTGATCCATGTATTCTGACAGTGGAGGAGTTCAGCTGACTCCTCTGCTGTCCAAACACAATGACACAGCGGTAATGATTCTCCCATCCACCTTGATTATGTGGATGGGGGAAAACTGAGGCATGCATGGGCAGCTTTAGTTTTTTTTTAATGTGGTATGTAAAATTACTTGATAATTGCTCCTAAATTGTTCTTATATGTAGGATTCTAAAATTTTTTTAAAAATGTGATAGTTATTTGTCATATCTAATTTTAACGACTTGTTTTTTGTCAGGTGTTGCAGTGTGCTGTAATGTGGCCAGTGCTTGAAGAGCTCCATCTAGCATCAAACAGCATTACCTCATTGGAAAGGTAAAGAAGTTTGTTCAGATGCATTTTTAGTAGTTTAAAATTGTATATCAAAAACGATACAGCATGTCAAAGCATTTGTATAAAAAGTAATTATTAAACATATATATTTATCACGGATCAGTTTTGCTACCAACATCTCAAAGCTGTGGCTTATCTTACCATACAAGCTTTTTATGCTGAAACCTCTTACACAAAAGGTAAGCATGTCATTCCAGGGGTTTATTGCAAAATTGTACAATCTGCTTTAGATTGACCAAAACAATGAAATGTGAAGTCTTGCCTAACTCTCATACCACCACTGGCATAAGGCTTGCAGTAATAGCTGGGGGTGTTTTACACACATTTAATAAACCAACTGTTGGCTTTCTAATGAACAGCTTTACAGCCGCCAGATCACTTTCCATGACCCCCCCCCCCCCTTGCAAGGGTGCATGTGTGCCCCCTGCCATGCTTCCTGGGCTCTGCTGTCCCACCTCTGGGCCTAGGACCCAAATGGTGGGTATCACCAGGTGGCCGGAGACCAGTTAACATCTGTTCACTGATCTACCCTGATAAAAATTAACCTGGAAAAGACATGTAAAATGTCAGTTCTGGTTTCTGATTCCCTTGCCCTTGCGGCCAGAAAAGAAGCTGATGGAGCATATTTTGCATTCAAATCGCTTCCATGGGAGACAGGTGAGACATCAGGGGTCCCTTATGTGATATAAATAAAGTGTTAGTTAAATAAAACAAAAAGTCTAAAGTCACACCCAAGTACTAAACACAAACCCAACCAGCCCCCTTCTACGTACAAAAGCATTGCTTATCTGGCAATATCAATAGGCATCTTGATCACCTGCTGGAAGTGGGCAAATTCCATCTGTTACATTTTGTTTCATCCTTTCGATGCCTCTCTGTCTGAGATACAGCAACTACTGGATCCACCAATTGACACCTGGCCAGCATACCAGATACTCCATTTTTTGAGGTCCACTATGGCAAAATAATTTGTATAACCCCACTCAGTTTGAAAACGTCTGCTTAGACACATCCTATGTATCTTCTATCTCAGCAGTATAAATTACTAGTTTTAACCCCTGTTGGGTTTGTTCCCCCTTATAACCGCAAGTGGGAAGAAGACAGGAAGACAACATTTTCTCCAGCCCAGATCAAACTGGCCTTACAATTTGCCAACATTTCTGCTATTACTAATACCTTTCAGGAGCAATGCTTTAAGATTTCAAGTTGTTTATCCAGGGTCCCAACTACATTACATAAAATCTTTCCACACGTACCCAATCTTTGTCGGCAGGATGAAGGCTCCTACCTGCATATCTTCTGTCAGTGCTTGAAACCCTGTCCATTTTGGGACCAAGTATGCCAATTGGTACTTCAGCTGATGACGGTTATCTAGGCACTCATCCAATTGGCTACTTGCTGTATCTCAATAGCATCCTGCTCTCATATTACAAATCCTCACTTACAGTTCACCATTTGAATGCAGCTCAGGCTTGTGTCCTGGCTCTTTGGAAACAACCTATTACTCTGCCAATTTTATTGTGGCTAAATAAATGTAACAATATTAAAAGTATGGGACATTTTAGGCCCCTAAATGTAAATGTGTCCATTTACACCTACCTACATTCAGTCCAGTCTGCTAAAAACAAATGGATAGGGATGTGTTGTCCTCCATCTTGTCGGATCGGATATCAGTTGGGTGTAAGCGGACAGGTGGTCTGTTTAAATCCCACTGGCGATAGAGGAGAGCGAGCTGTGTCCGTGTCCACTCTGCATAAGCAAAGCAGACATGGATCTGTCATCCGCCTGCTCAGTGGGAATCAGCAGACAGATTCCCTGCTGAGTAAGCGTATCTCAGGTGGGGGGGCCTTACAGCTTCTTTATATCAAAAGGAGGAGAGGTGTCACAATACGTGGTATCCGTGTTCAATGTTTTTCTTGCTCTCCTGCATATCAGGCCCCTCTGATGTGGATCCCTTAGAGTGGCCTTGATCAACCACCTGACTCTGATCAGCGGGTTTCATCTAATCTATATGCTATATTGGGTTTGGGCCAACTTGAGCCATCTCCCTCTCCCCTTGGCATACCTACTTCTCTTCATCCTCTGGTCCTCGTCGTGAACACCCCCCTCCCTTTTTTTTTTTCCTTTTTTTTTTTTTTTGCTTTCTTTTACTTCCTGCTTCTTGGTGATATCCCTCATCCTTTTATTACTCCACATGTCCACATATGTAAAATGTTTCTTAGGAAGACTTTGTGTTTTGACATTTGGTGGCTAGCTTGCTAAGGAGCTATGCGACACCCATCTGCGGGTTCGCCTCCATTCTTTTTACAGTTTAGTGTCTTTGGAATGATACCTTTTTTTGATAGAGGCCTTGGACCCCTTGGCTTGTCCTCTATTTGTGTAACCACTGACTGTGTGTTTTTCTGTTGTTCACTGTTACATAGGACAGAGGACAAGGGGGTACTCTTTACGTCTGGAGGAAAAGAAATGTAATCTCCAGATTCTGAAAGGTTTCTTTACAGTAAGAGCTGTGAAAATGTTGAATAGACTGCCTCAAGAGTTGGTTCTGGCCAGTTCAGTGGATTGCTTTAAAAAAGGCCCGGATTCTTTCTTGGATACACCGGATATAACTGGTTAATAACATTTATAGGTAAAGTTGATCCAGGGAATAGAATATCCGATTGCCTCTCGGGGGATCAGGAAGGCACCCAGCTTGATGCCGCAAGCTGTCATAGCCAGGTGCCCACACCTAAGATGCTGGTACGGCCAATGAAAGCGGCTTCGTTTTTTAAAAAGTCTTTTTAAAAGACTTATTTTTTTAGCTTTGACTGGAGCTTTGCTTTAAGTTCTGCCAGGTGGATGTTGGGTTTCTTTTGATGCTAGTTATGGGCATAAGATGCTACAAACTACTACAAGCTGCTCTCAGAGTCTGTTGAGCCCTTCTGAGTCTGTTGAGCCCTTACCCGGCGTTTGTTTGCTGTGTTGCACACCCCTCAGTTATCCTGCTTTTAGAGGTTATTTTTATTTCATGAATGGGTTTGTAAAGTAGTTCCTCCTCCTCTCCTTCCTGAGAGGAAGGGAAGGGCACTCCACTGTAAACACTAATGCACTTTTTACATGATTGTAATCACAGCAATCACATGGCACAGAGTTTCTCTAATCAGCTCTGTGTCTTTAACTGACACTGTCTGATGATAATGGGAGCAGCAGCTTTTTGCTCATGGCAGGTGAACAACACATTTAAACCAAAGGATGTATGGTTACTTCCACCTTTCCTAGTAAGAGCACAGTCCTGCTGTTTCGTTACAATGGCTGGATGTAAGATGGTTGAGGGTGCATAGAAATTAACTGTGGTGCTCAAATGCATATTGTAGGTATACCTATTATCAATACAACCTAAGTGTATATAAAAGTTTTCAAAAACCATACATTATGTTTTAAAAGAGGTTAAAACATTTACTGTGAGACACCCTAAAATATTTACTGTCATTTTAAATTAAGTTTTATAAACATTTTATTAGGGTTTTTGTATTATTTA